TTTCGCGAAGAAACTGCCGGCCGTTTTCCGCTCGAGATCTCGCGGAGCTCGCCGCTTGCGAAAGTGGTGCCACGAACACGCGGAAACACGCTAACACACGATATCGCAATTTAGTTCACCCTGTTTCCATTTTTATTTCCCGTGTTTTGCTTGTTCGCCGCGCTGGGCGAGCCGCGTTCCATTCGATAAAATCGGATCGATCCATCAACAAATCCACTGTCCCCCCGGTCATTGAATTAGGACGACGCGCGGAAATTTCACTTTTGCGACACTGTGTGCTTGTTAACCGAGTTAGGTAAACGAGCCTCTCCGAAGCCAAACATCCGGTTAATCTCGTTACGCGACTTACGCACGATTAATATTTAAATCTCAAGAAACAGATGATTTACTTTCACGACGAGTCCAACAGAGTTGCGAAATCTCCATGAGAAGTTTGAAACAGCGTTTTCCTCTTTTAATTTTCATTTAGCTTCTCGTACTTTTCACTTCAACGAGTTGATCTTTAATGTTTCTAAAACGGCACCGATTGTTCGGGGATAATATGAAAATGTACACGTATATATTTATGTAAAAATATAAAAACAAAAAATTGATACATGGCATGACTAATCATTTTAATATATAAAATATGACGATTTGAATAATCATCTTAAATATACAATAAGTATGGTTCTGCTGATCATTGAAATTTATTAATTAATAATACGAATACTTTTATGCAGTACATACTTGCACAAAATATTTTACGTACATTCCCAGATTTGTTCCAAACTTCGCCAACATAATACGATTGTCGTGCAAATGAAATTTCAAATCGTTTCATATTGAGCGCAATTATATTAATATTACACTTATAAAAAAAAAAATAATTTTATGAACACTGCTCTACGTGTTTATGAGCAACGCTCAATTTTACTAAATAAAAAAAAAAAGAAGAAAGAAAAAGAGACATTAAAACTTTTTAAGTGATCCCAATTCGATTATACCAGAGAGAGTACGTTTTCGTCTGAGGGGCGCAAACACAAGAGAGAATTCCTGACACACCTGTGTCACATACGGTGGCAATACCTTTCCAGACTCTCTGCAAATATCCTTGATGCGTGTCTAATCGGTCATTGCCTCTCGTCGTGGTTTTAATCCGTCACTGGGACGGATCTTTCTCCTTTGGTTTTCGCGTACGAGAGATACCGAGGAATCGCAACTGCGAGCCTTAATCGAGATCCTGTGTAAACAGGAAACGCGTTGTTTGCAAAGAACGCCCCGACGCTGGTCCAATCTGCCGTAAAAGAAAGGCTGTTCGTTCGATGGGGGAATTTCGCCACAGAACAGATGCCAAATCAAATTTCTTTTCGTCGCCGCAACCACGAGTTGCTCGAGTTTCACGCGTCAGGGATCGCTCGACGACTGGATTCGGACTCGGCGTCGAACCGATCGAAACGGTGACCGACACGATTTTACACAAATCTTAAGTGCATCGGAGGATAAAGAAATTCCACGTCGGCTACGTTCAACTTGTTCAAATTGGATCGCTTTCGAAAACTTTAAGATTAATTAAAGACGTATATCTGTGATATAATTTACCTTCACAGTTGACAATTAATAATCGTTTTTAATTACAATTAAATATACTCGATTTTGATTTGAACATGTATCTGCGATATAATTATCTTCTGATTGAAGATGTATCCGTGATATAACTTACTCTTACGATAAGTTAAGATTAATAATCGATTTGATTACAATTGAGATTAATAATCGATTCCGATTGAACAGTTGTATCTGTGACAGAATTTATCTCGAAACTACGCCTTAAACAGATAACAGATTCACGGATAAATTACGAGATTCGAGAGAGAAGTCAATCTGCCTCTCAGTCAAGAGTATTAAGAAACAGGGAAGAAAACTAATTATATAATTTCAGGTATAAAGAGAGCGAATAGAAACTCGCGGGACCGGATAAGTAGGATTTATCGGAAACGGACGTATCTCGGTGTCCTCGGCTTAAAACAGGATTATCTCGTGAGAAGGGGGCAGAGGGGGAGGGGGAAGTGAAGTGGGAGAAAGGGACGGGGAATGCAAAATTCGATGTTCCAATTGAAAAGCGCGACGACGACCGCGGTGAAAGAAGGAAAATACCGCGTGAATGGCGGGTCGATCCGGATGAAATTTAGCTTCCAGGTTTCTCGAACCAGGCGTTTCCGAAACGACTTGTT